TGTGTGTGTGTGTGTGTGTCTGTGCTAACAAGCAGACACTGAGGCAGTCATTGTTAGCTAAAATCCAACAAGGACCCACAAAGTTGACCTTTTCATTGCCTCCAGAATTATGAGGCCCTTCAATGCAGCTCGTGGACAAAGTTGGTTCATGTCTAGATGTGTGTACACACATTGTTTCACTTTAGTTGAAGGAGTGCTTGGTCCTCTGTGGGTTAACGACGTGGTGATTCATAAAAATCGATCAAAAAAGTCAAAAAATGAAACTCATGATTGTGACATTCAATGTGTCAAAGTAGTGGAGAAACACACACACACACACACACACACACACAGAGGTTATGTTTATTAAGAGTCTACAAATTGATAGGCAAGGTAGAATGAGAAATGGGAGGAATGCAGGTGAAGCAACTGAGCTGTTATTATCCTCCTGTCAACAGACAGACTCGCAGTAATCACCTGTCTGGTCTTGCCCACTGGAATTTTAATCTTTTCTTAACTATTCCTCCTGCTTTCTCTGTTTACTCACAGCAGAAAAGGTCAAGCACATGGTTTGTTTTGATACTCTAGCATAATTTTGATGGCAGTATATCGTAGGAGAAACTGAACAGCTGTATGTGTGACGTTTTCTCTTGACTTTAGATTGCAAAGATAAGAAAAACACGTTTGCGTGTCAGCCTCAGTGCTTCTATTGAATTCATTCCATTCAGGCTCTGACAAAATTCCTAATGTTGTCTGGAAGTTTAAGTCATTGTTTTAGGATTTAATTTTGCATATCTTCTGTGTTTTTGCAGGTTTAAGGGAGTGTGTGTCCATGAAGGCCAGCTTCACGCTTTGACAGAGGTAGGAGAACATGTACACAAACACACGGTCTTCACAATAAAGCTTGTGTACAAACTAATGATACGTGAGATCAAAGCATCTCTGCTAAAGAAAAGGTACAGTAATGGTGCACTGATGTCCCAGTACGTCTCGTGTCAACACATCAGTGTAGTTTCTCTGTGTTCATACTCTTCTCAGGTGAACATCACGTCATCCACGAACACAGCAAGCCTGTAATTGTGGAAAACCAAAAGAACTGAATGTGCCTTAGTATGCAAGACACTTACGCTGTGTGGTTATGTGAGTGAATTTGATCCAGGCAGCTAATACAGTTTTCCAGAGATCTTAAGTGTTGCGACATACATCAAAAGGGTTCCAGAGCGTGATGTGTTTGAGCTGCACATGACCCTATATTTAACCTGTGTACGTTCGTCTGTGTGTGCGAGAAGAAGAGCAATAAAACATTGTGGTTGTGGTAATCATTAATTTGTCACAGAAAATGGCTGATAAGCAGTGGAAATATTTGGCTGCTGAATGAAAAGACGAGGTGTACTGCAGGTCAGGCCTAATTCTCTCGATGTGAAAGAGGTGCAAAGGCTAAATTTAGCCTGAAACCAAATAAATGTGGTGTTCCTGTTGTAGCGAATAGCTCCTCCTACAGTTACTTAACAAATGTGTTTGGATTTTCTCGAGCTGTTTGGCTGTAATGTTGCGCTGTATTGCACCCACATGAAAACACATAAATCTGTGAAGATTCTTCACAGCCCCTGCATATTTGGAGCCATTACCATTTGATTTCACATAGGAATAAACAGTGCTAAATGGTGATTAATATTTATTAATTAAATATGACAGTTTTACCAAACTAATGGGGAAAAAAAGTCACGACATCTAGAAATAATGATAAGTAAACAATAATACACTAATAACAACAAGAACAAATTTTACTATTGATTATTATTGTTATTATTATTTTGCTTGTCAGGCATTATAATACTGATTTTAGTTTTATATTGTTGGTCAAACAAAGAAATATGAAAATGATGATTGAAGGAAATTTTAGCTGCTACTTTTTTTTTTTTTTTTTTTAAGTTTTGAGCTTTGCTGCCTAATCAAATCAAATTTAAGACGATATAAAACTTGTACAATTAATTACTAAAACAAGTTAAAGTTGCATAAAATACAACAACGGGTAAAAGTATGGTAGGAAATTGTAAGATTGATTTCTAAAATACAAATAAATATGAAATATATCAGCATGAAGAGCAGCCAAGCCATGGCAAACATGCGTTTTAAGTTTTTTCCGGAATAAATCATTGGTGCACCAATAATGCACTAATTATGTTTAATTCAGGGATGATAACACTGATAACGTCATTTTGATGCCCTATGCCATAAACTGACAGCTGTACATCCTCCTGTGGTTATTGTATTCACATATGAACTGCACCAAAACACAGATATATTTACACTTGAGCAGGACAGCGAGTCCCTTAAGATGTGCAAAGTATGAAAGCCATTCATGCCACTCTGAAGAAAGCACACACTGTTAAAGATGCTCCCAGACTCACATGTGTTCTTAATTACACTGTTGTGCTGCACAGTCAATGTGCTTATTGTAGCCTTGACGAAAAAAGACAGATAGCAGCTTTCTGCAGTTCCATAATAGAGCACATCTTAAGATACCAAATTTACATGCACGAACACACTGGGCCTTTTACTGTAGTTGCAAAGTGAATCAGCCCATTGTCACACACATGTGAATATACATACATACACACTGTGGTAGGTCTTGTTTTCGTACTGCAGCGTAAACAGATCCTGTTGTGTCGTGTCAGAACCAAACTGAATGCTCTGACCCCGGTAGCAGGCTCGTGGTGTTTTGTTACCTGACCCCCACTATGAGGCTGTGCTCAGAGGAAACGGAGAGTGATATTGCTGCATGGCCCCGAGCTACCTCGAGAAACTCTCTGACTCACGTAGAGGCGCACGCACATCTACGTATTGCAGCACATGCAAAAGCGATGACCTGTGCTACCTCTGAACTGAGTTAAGTTAACAAGAGCTGTAAAACTGAGCAGTACAACTTTTTAATGTCAGATTCCGCACAACCTCCTTTTATTAACCCTCTGAACCCTAAGCACTGTCTGGCCATTTTTCTTTAACTCCTGTCACATTTTTTTACTCACTGTGGGCTCGTTTTCACTGCAATATAAAATCCTGCACCTTGCTGGAATCAGCACAGCCATGACTAGAAGTAGAGGAAACTCTAAAATGTCGTTTGCACAGTTTAACAAAGTTTTATTGCCATATACATAAAAAGGAAAAAAACAGAAGTTAGACATTTTTGATTATTTACTTTACAAGAGCTGAAAAAACCTGGAATCAATGGGTTGAACATTTTGTACCCACAGGTGTTGACAAAATTGTCCAAAAATCGTGGCTATACATACTATCAACATTTAGCTAAGTATACTTCTAATTTGATTCCATACTCGTCTCCTTCCTGCGTTGGGTAGACACAGCCTGCAGCTCAACCCTGTTCCCCTGAATTCTTGTCACATGACTTTAGGTTGGAGCTGGAACTAATAGGTTCCCGGTTTCATTTTTAGTGCAACATGACAGCAGTTTGGATTTTGTTAATTTCCAGACAGAACTGGAAGTCGCTTATGATTAGTTCAAGGACCGTGGGAAACTTGAAAATCCAATGATTCTTTCTGTTTTTATGGTTTCTGCCTTTAATAAATGGTGTAATTTTGGGCAATTTTCAAAAATAGCATGACTTTCAAAACCACTTTATGAGCGTCAGAGGCTTAAAGAAAAAACTTAGCAGTGTACATCCACACACTCGCACCAGGCTTTCAATTGTAATATATAATAGAATTGCTGCAACACATATGTCTGAACACAAGCATGAGAATTGTTCTTTAAGGACTCTGGAAGACACAGAATGACTGAGAGCATGAAGCCTTGTTCTGCCTCTGCTCAGCTTTAATTTAATGCACCTTATAGGAAATGCTACTGCAATCATAATCTGGACTAATGGTAAGTCATGACCCATGGCAGGATTATACTGCTGTTTGAAGCTGCTCCCAGCAGCAAACAAGGATTCTTTGTTTGAGTCTTTCCAGGGTTCTTAACCAGAAACACAGACATCGCAGGAGAGCAACTTCCACACGAGTTGCGACCGGCCGTGTGTTTCTTATTTCCTCATCTCTCTACATTGTATACGGTCATGGTGAGGTACTTAAAAATGCCCAAACATGTGCTGTGTTGAATGATTACTGTGGTGTATCAGTAACTCCACAAATAGGATCAAACAAATTCCAGGAAAAAAATACCACGCCTGAGTAAGAGGCTTTTTAGAATACGACTTTACTTCCACTTAGTTACTTTTAGTTGACACAGCAGGTGCACTCTTCTGCAAAACCCTGCGATTTGCATGTTGGACCAGGCTTTGCACTCGCTGCATAGTCAGTCAGTGTGAGATTAAAATGCGTGTTGTCTGGATCTTAAATGAGATGATAAAGTAAGGAAGCTGGATTAGTCTTTTTCAGTTTTCTCCTGTTGTATTCCTCTCCTCTTAAACCCCAACAGGCAGACAACAGATGTTGAACTCTGTGGCTACTGAGGAATTTGCTGGACAAATACTGTAATCCCCTGACGTCTTGATTTGGGGTGTTTATATATATATCTGTGTGTGTGTGTGTGTGTGTGTGTGTGTGTGTGTGTGTGTGTGTATGTGTGTGTGTCTAATAAAACATTTGCGTATAAACACTGCAGGGATTGCACTGTTTAGGGTGCGAGTGTTTGAATTTCACACATATTTACAGGCACCAATATTGCTTTTGCTTAACAAATCCTCTGACTAATTAAGGTTAACTTTATATTTAATTTAAGTCCTTAGACTGTATTTGAGAGCAAAAAAACATTGCTCTACCCTCTTTTGGGAGATAGTAAACTGTTAAATACTATGTAAAATAAAAATTTGACAGTGGGTATTAAGATTTTTCATGTGTGGTTGAATACTTCAACGCATGATAGAGTATGTATAGTTCAGTGACAAAAGAACAAGTTTAGAAATTTGTCTCTGAGGATGAAAGTGTTTGCATTCATGCATTCATGCATTCATTCATGCTGTAAATAATACAAGATACAGTGCATGCAAGACAGTAGTCTAACACATGTAATCTTCATCAGGCTGGAGTTATCCCTCTGCTGAGGTACACACAAACATTTCTGCAACTTTATGTCGTGGTTGTTGTGGATAATAGGTTGCAGAGGCTCCTACAGGTCTTGGTGTGCACACCTTCTAAATCTTAAATTCAAGCAATGCCTGTTATGAATAACAATACAAGTCAGTTGTATAAGAAGTGCAGAAGTAATAAAACATGCAAACATCTCTTGAATGCATGTTTGGCTACGTGCAGCCTGAAGAAATGACCATCCATTGAGGGAAGTTTGCAGTTAAAGGGATGTTTAAATTTCACGCTACCTTTCTGAACTTGCTGCATCACTCTGAGTTAAACTTCATTGGCACAGCAGGTTTTGCATATCAGAGCTCCTATATTAAGGCTTTTTAGTATTAAGTTAGGTATATAAAGGTGTACAAACTGAAAAGGATATCATTTTTAAGATGCCACCAATTGAAAAAACGAAAACTGAAGTCTCATAGCACTTGAAGTGCTCTAGAGCGATGGTGTCGATAAAGATGTAAAGCAATGTGCTGCTAAGGGGAAATTATGGAATTTGTTGTAGTAAGGTAACTCTGGATTTTATATTTTTTTGGTTGTTAGTTGGTTAAAAATTGGTATTAGTTTGACCAGGAGCCCAGTTTATTCAGTTGTGTGAAGAAGTAAAGACCTCCTTCCTTCACTGCCATCCCTCTTTGTTCTAATTCTGGGCCTGCCAGTCACAACAGTAACCAAATCTGAACCCGACCATCTTTTATCCCGTCTCTAGTTAAGTACTGTTGTTCGTGATATGTGACAGGGGATTATTGCGTCTGCGTGTTTGCATGCAAGCAGCAAGGTCAGGCAAGATCTTGTGGATCAAAGCTGACAAAGTGAAGGAGCCTGGATACTTTTAAACCCACTGAGCTGATTTGCTGCCCACTCCTCAGCCTACACAGAGGCCAGACGGTCCACATTCATGTATTAGTGAACTAGCAGCTCTGACAGCCAGCTGAACAGGCTGCAGGCCAGATTTTGCTCAGCCAGTTGGTCGATATATCAGCTAACCCACCAGGCAGGCCGCCTGTAATCGAAGCAACCAATCAGTAATCCAGTCTGCGAGCCCATCAGATGAGCAGTAGGGTTGAGTAATGCAGTTAGTCAGTACCTCTATGTACTTTCAGCGTGTCTGTATATCTTAATGACATACTGCAGTGAATGAGTCAGTATACCACTAATGAGCCCTAAAGCCAGCTGGTCAGTCTGTTGTTTGTCTCACTGGCAACAGAGAGTGTTATACTGTTGTGATTGGAGTATTCACACGAACTGAGTATCTAATTTCTTTGGAAGTCATTTGATATCTGGTTTACTATTACAGTGACTTATGCAGTGACGCCAGACAGGAACCTTTTGCTTTCTTTTTTTTTTTACAGCACAACCATGCAGTTCATGGCCCGACATCATTAGAAATAAAGAAAACGATTATTGATAGCATGTTAAGATGCCAGATTTAACGTCCTTCACGCTCCCAGTGTCATCTTTCCCACCATCTTCCCTTCGCCTTCCTTTTTTCTCATCCTGTGCATGAGCACAAATGTGCACAGGACACCCTGAAAAAGTGTTGGATGTATCGCTCCAAGCCATTCTGTTATCCATTCACTCAGGGTGAAAGGATGGGTAGTGAACTGTGAGGAGATATTTGCTGAATCTGGCAAAAACTCTGTTAGATTAGAATTTTTAAATGCCAAGAATAAGTTTTTGTTTGACAATGGTGTCCTTAAATTTGAGGAATCCATATTGTATATTGTCTGTTCTGCAACCCTAAATTTATTGTTAAACATATTTATAACATACTATGAAGTCAGAATTCAGGCATTTGTTTACAAAACCCAATCTGTTTGCTGCCTCTATTGTACAGTTGTACACGATAACAACTTTTTCACCTTCTTTGTCAATCTTGTGTAAAATATTTGGGTTCTGTTTACCTGTTCATGTATTAATGTGTCTGTGCTTCTCTTTCTGTAGTACATCAACGGTGGAAACCTGGAGCAGCTTCTAGACAGCAATAAACACCTGAGTTGGCCCACCAGGGTGAAATTAGCCTGCGACATCGCCAGCGGTCTGGCCTACTTGCACTGCAAAGGCATATTCCACCGGGATCTCACCTCTAAGGTTAGCTAGACTAACTAAGTGGTCATTAAAAAGAGAAATCACAGCTAAAAGCAGAACTGCAGACCTGCTTGTGGCCCTGTCAAAACAAAGCACTGACTTAAAACAATCCAGATGTCTCATTATTTTGTTTGTATATTTTCAGAAAAGAAAATGAAGTCATTTTTGTCATGAGTGTTTCTGGAAACCTTTATACGCTGAACAAAAAAAAAACAGGGGTCAGAAAACCAGTCAGTATCTGGTGTGACCACCATTTGCCTGACACAGTGCAACACATCTCCTTGGCATAGAGTTGATCAGGTTGTTGATTGTGCCCTGTGGAATGTTGGTCCACTCCTCTTCAATAGTTGTGCGAAGTTGGATATTGGCAGGAAGTGGAACACGCAGTCTTATACGCCTATCCAGAGCATCCCAAACATACTCAATGGGTGACATGCCCGGTGAGTATGCTGGCCATGCAAGAACTGGGATGTTTTCAGCTTCCAGGAATTGTGTACAGATCCTTGCAACATGGGGCCTCAGGATCTTGTCACGGTATCTCTGTGCATGAAAAATGCCATCAATAAAATGCACTTGTGTTTGTTGTCCATGACGTACGCCTGCCCATACTGTAACCTCACCGCCACCGTGGGTCGCTCGATTCACAGCGTTGACATCAGCAAACCGCTCACCCACACAACGCCATGCACGCTGTCTGCCATCTGTACAGTGAAAACCGGGATTCATCCCTGAAGAGAACACCTCTCTAGACAAGTGCCAGACGCCATCAAATGTGAGCATTTGCCCACTCAAGTCGGTTACGTCGACGAACTGAAGTCAGGGCGAGACCCCGATGAGGTTGACGAGTTTGCAGAGGAGCTTCTCTGAGACAGTTTGTGCAGAAATTCTTTGGTTATGCAAACTGATTGTTGCAGCAGCTGTCTAGGTGGCTGATCTCAGATGATCTTGGAGGTGAAGGTGCTGGATGTGGAGGTCCTGGGCTGGTGTGGTTACACGTGGTCTGTGGTTGTGATCCCGGTTGGATGTACTGCCAAATTCTCTGAAATGCCTTTGGAGATGGCTTATGGTAGAGAAATAAACATTCAATTCACGGGCAACAGCTCTGGTGGACATTCCTGCAGTCAGCATGCCAATTGCTCGCTCCCTCAAAACTTGCGACATCTGTGGCATTGTGCTGTGTGATAAAACTGCACATTTACAGTGGCCTTTTATTGTGGCCAGCCTAAGGCACACCTGTGCAATAGTCATGCTGTCTAACCAGCATCTTGATATGCCACACCTGTGAGGTGGGTGGATTATCTCGGCAAAGGAGAAGTGCTCACTAACACAGATTTAGACAAATTTGTGAACAGTATTTGAGAGAAATAGGCCTTTTGTGTACATAGAAAAAGTCTTAGATCTTTGAGTTCAGCTCATGAAAAATGGGAGCAAAACAAAAGTACTGCGTTTATATTTTTGTTCAGTGTAGCGTATTTGCTCCAAGTATTTTGTGCGGGGAAGAATACAGCAAATGGCAGAGGATGAAATGTATTCGTCTAGAGAATATGTAATGCCTCTTTCTTGGCTATGTTTTGGGTTTATCTTGTAGTATATATTGAAGTTTAAATGGTTTGACAGATCACAGTGAATACTTTTGCAGTGTATGGCCCCAGAATTGTTGTTCACTGACTTTGTTCAATGCTAGCTAAAAATACACAACATAAATAGCATAACATGCATAAATAACAATATAACATAATAATGTTAAATGTATTAGGTTTCTTCTTGGTGCACTAAATTGCATCCACTTGCTAATGGCTTCTCTGTAAAGAACACTGACACTGACAGATGTCATATTCTGTACCAAGCAGCTTCTAGTTTTTCAAATTGACCCCGAGCCACATTGGCACTGTGAGGGAACAGGGACAGGTTGCAATCTGCTGTAAAATCATATTTATAAACATTATAAACAAGTGCACAGAGAAATTTGATTTAAAAAAAAAATATCAAAAAATTGATGTGAAGAGATGAAAACACAAGCAAGCAGGCACTTCCTGTAGCTCCATATCAAAGTTCCTCAAATTAATACAAAGCTTATTTACTGTTAGGGAAGTCAATGAACAAAGCAGCATTCTGTCATTTTTTGTGCTATGTAGTTGTTGCAAAGACTTTTCAGTTCCAGCTGTGTTTTTATAATGTGTTCTAGAAGTTTTAAAGCAGTTTACAGAGCAACATGTTGATATACAGCTATTTTAGAAAGAACGAACAATTCAGAAAGGAAGCTAAGTGAGAGTGAAGATGTGCACTGGATTCATGTGTCATAAGTTATGCCAATTAGACTGACATGTATAAATAAACTGTGAGGACATAGATCATCAGCGTTCAGCTGAGTAGCTGTGACGACCAAATGTCACTGTTATGTTACACCGGGAGTGTGCAGATGATATCGGCAGCCGTGCATATGCTGCCATGTGCAATACCATTAGGGTAATACACACTGCTCAGAAAATGTAAGGAAACACTTAAATCACACATCAGATCTCAATGAACAAAATATTTAAGGTAAAAATCTTTATTCATATACATTTTGTAATACACTGAGAACAAAATGGCATAAGAACAGTCTTTATTAATCCACTAAAGGTTAAAAATGATTCATCCACGAAGGGTTCAATTCAAAATCACACCAAAAATCAAAGTGAAAAATTTAAATCACAAGCTTCTCCACTTGCATGAATTTGATCAAAACAACTCATAATGTGACTCAGTAGTGTGTTTGGCCACAATATGCCTGTATGCACGCCCAACTATGTCTGGACGTCTGGCTTCTGATGAGACGGTGGATGGTATCCTGACGCGTCAGTGAGCTCCTGAACAGTCCGTGGCGCAACTTGAAGGCGTCAGATGCATCGATGCATATTGTCCCAGAGGTGCTCAATTGGATTCAGGTCTGGAGAACTTCAAGGCTAGTCAATGGCATTCATGTCTTCGTCATCCAGGAACTGCCGCCACACTCTGGCTACATGAGGCGGGCCATTACCTTGAACCAGGAGGAACCCAGGGTAGGCCAGCGTAAGGTCTGACAATAGGTGTCAGGATTTTAACCTGATACCTAACAGCAGTCAGGGTGCCATTGGCCAGCACATGGGAGTTTGTGCAAACCTCTAAGGATATGCCTCCCCAGACCATCACTGACCCAACACCAAACTTGTCATACTGGATGATGTTATAGGTGGCAGAACATTCACCAGGGCGCCTCTTTCACGTCTGTCACATGTGCTTAGTGTGAACCTGCTCCCATCTGTGAAGATAACTGGACGTCAGTGTCGAACCTGCCAATTCTGGTGTTTTTTTGGCAAACTTTGATTGAGCTGCACAGTGCTGGGCAGTGAACACAGGCCTCACTAGAGGATGTCAGGCCCTCATGCCAGCCCTTACGGAGTCCGTTTCTGTCAGTTTGGTCAGAAACGTGCACATGATTAGCCCTCTGGAGGTCATTTTGAAGGACTCTAGCAGTGCTCCTCCTGCCATCTTGGCAGATCTGGACGACCTGTGCAACCTCACTGGAGCAGGTATCGTCTCAGGGTAATAAGAGACCAATGGTCTGTGGCCACCACCTGCAGATCCATTCCCATTTTGGGCGTTACTGTTGCCTCTCCTGTCCACCTGTTGTCCCTTTCAGTTTTACTAAAGCAGGTGCAAGTGATTTACAATCAGTTATGCTTCCTAGCTGGACAGATTGAGATCCCAGAAGTTTAGTTTAATTGCTGTTGTGAGAAAGCGTTCCCTTTAATTCTTTTGAGCAGTGTAGATGGGCATTACAGCAAATGAAAGTACAAACCGTTTCATTGAGGCTAAAGAGGAAGACTCTGAACTGTCAGTGTACAATGTAAAGTATAGTTCTCTAATTAAAGTTCAAATGGGAAGTAGAGGTTTGGACGATATTATTAAGCCACAAAACGTTTTAATGCCTCAATGTTGCAACATCTTTAACTAACCATCTGTGTGAATGATATTCTGTCTTCACAGAACTGCCTGATCAAATGTGATGACAGCAGCTACACAGCAGTGGTGGGAGACTTTGGCCTGGCAGAGAAGATCCCCATCAATCTGTAAGGAGCCTTCAGTGATCACATAAAAACACTTCGACTTTCATCGTTTCTAGTAAAGCAATTAGGACCAGAACTTAGCTTAAAAATAAGCATTTTGGATGCTTATTTTCTGGTCCTATAGTAACATTGCAGTCATATAATATTGGACCTAATATGTGTACTTTTAATATTAATCAGAGTTCGGCTGTGAAACATTATGGACTATTTTGTTGAAACACAAGTACTTGCCTTTAATCACCACTTAATTAAAAGCCATGGGTCTGCCAGTAGTTTAGTTTGTGTAACTTAATTAATTAAGATGCAATATCTGTTGGGTAGGTTTTCTGCTGTATATTAATTTGTGTTCATTTTGCTTTATCAGGCACTTGAGATAATAAAAATAACATATTTTATGTTGCATTTGCCCATTATAAAGACTCCTCTTTCTACATAGCAACAGAAAGAGCATATGTCAGTTCATAAGATTTTTATTCTAGCCCTTGTTCATATTTTGCTCATGTCTGCTCTTCACTACAATGTTTGTTTGTACCATTTGGTTTTTGCTGTTACAGCTAACGTACTGAGCGTTCCTCCTCCTCCTCCTCCTCCTCCTCATACCGGGCGCAGGGTTATTTATTAACACATGGGTCAGGCTCTAACATTAACAGCCGCCTCTACAGTTCACATTCTCTGCTTTAGTGTTTTGATAGCAGGAGGACAGTGTCAGTGCCCGGGTTTTTACTTTTTTCAAATTCAACAGTGGCACAAAAAAGGAGTTGTGGGTCTTTTCTAAACTGTCTTCAGCAACAGAGCTAAATGATAATTTCTGTAGTCTTGTATGTAACCATGTTTGGACATTAATGTACAGATTCCTAAGTGAGAAGGTGCAGTTTTCCAGGAAATCATAAATCTGCTCTGACTTCACCAAATTTACATCTAAATGGAGCAAAAGCTACTGAACTGAAAGGATTAGAGAGTTAAGATTCATTATATGCACCATTTGAAATCTTTTAAAAGCTGATTAAAACGTCTGCCTGGGAATTTTTTAAAACTGTAATTTAGGCAACAAGGGCATTGCCATCTACTCTCAGAGCAAGCTTTGGGGCAGCTGATGCTCTGTTTGTTTTTCCATCAAGCTGATTCTTTATATTAACATTACAAAAGCGGCCTGAAGAAATGACTTCACTCACTTCCACTAATGCTCCCACATGGGCTTTTTCATTAAGTGCTAATGCCTGAACACAAAGTGTGCAGTTAATGGAGAGTTATTTTACTCCTGCTGTTTGACATCATTCGTTCTTACACTTTATGAACAGCGGGAGGCTTTTCTTCCTGGCAGTTCACGGGGTCAGAAGAGGATTATTTCTAATCAACTTTTCACCAGTTTGCAGAGTTCTGTTGTTTCCTCAAGTGAGATGCCCTGTGTAAACATATTCATTAACACTGAAACAGGAATGCAGAGTTCAGGAATCATATCAAAGCTGCAAAGAGTCTTAAAGTTTCTTTTTGTTTGGATGAGATGTTTCATCTAATAAAACGTTCTGTTTGTGTTGTGTTTAGTGCTGAAGGAGAGAAGCTTTCAGTGGTTGGTTCTCCCTTCTGGATGGCTCCAGAGGTGCT